GGGGGTCTACGAACCAAGAGCTGGCCACGAGGGAGTCCAGAGGACCAGGAACAGGACACGAGGAGTCCAGAAACCGACGGATCATGAGGGGTCCTTTTAACAAGCCGAGGAACCAGGAAAACACATGGAAGGTGATATGCTCCAGCGAAGAGTAGCACTGGACTGCAGCCTTTTGTAGCAGGGATGCCTCCTCAGTCTGATGGTCGTCAGGTGTGGGCGATTAGCGGCCATCTTGGAGGAGGAGCTGCAGGCAGTGGTACTCTTACAGTACCCACCCCTCAATAATCGCCTCCAGGCGACCTGAAGCGCTTCTCGGGGTGGTCCTTGAAGAAGGAGGTGATGAGGCTGGGGTCGAGGATGAAGGACCGGGGAATCCATGACCTCTCCTCAGGACCATACCCCTCCCAATCGACGAGGTACTGGAATCCTCGACCCCTGCGTCGCACGTCACGGATGGATCGGACAGTGAACGCAGGGTGGTTGTCGATCAGGCAGGGTGGAGGAGGGAGGTCAGAGGGAGGACACAGAGGGCTGGTGAGGACTGGCTTGACCTGGGACACATGAAAGGTCGGGTGGATCCTCATGGTCCTGGGTAGCTGCAGCCTCACTGCAGAGGGGCCGATGAGCTGGGTGATGGGGAATGGGCCGATGAAGCGTGGCGCCATCTTCCGGGGGGTGTCTTTGAGGGGAATGTCCCGGGTGGACAGCCACACTTCTTGGCCCACCTGGTAGCGAGGGGCCGAGGAACGGTGACGGTCAGCAGCCTTCTTTGTCTGGGTGGCCGTGCGGAGGAGTGCGGACCGCACCTGGCACCAGACCCTGCGGCACCGTCTGAAGTGATGCTGCACGGAGAGTACCACGCAGTCTACCTCTTGGCCGGGGAACAGGGGAGGTAGGTAGCCTAGGGAGGCTTCGAAGGGAGACAGGCCGGTGGCGGTGGAGCGATGAACGTTGTGGGCGTACTCAACCCAAGCCAAATTGTGACTCCAGGCTGACGGGTCCTTCTCGGCCATGCGGCGCAGGATGGACTCAAGTTCTTGGTTGGCCCGTTCAGCCTGGCCATTCGACTGGGGATGGTAGCCTGAGGTGAGACTGGTGGTGGCCCCCAGCGTCCTGCAGAAAGAGCACCAAACCTGGGACACGAACTGTGGTCCGCAGTCCGACACGATGTCTGAGGGGATACCGTGCAGGCGGACCACGTGCTGTGTCAGCAGGTGCGCCGTCTCCATTGCAGAGGGGAGTTTAAACAGAGGGATGAAGTGGACCGCTTTGGAAAAGCGGTCGATTACAGTTAGGATGACTGTGTTACCTTCAGAGGGTGGGAGTCCGGTAACAATGTCCAACGAGATGTGGGACCATGGACGACTCAGGGTGGGCAGGGGTTGCAGGAGGCCGGAGGGGGGTTGGGTGCCCGTCTTATTGCAGGCGCACGTGGGGCAGGCGGCAACGAACTCCCGTATGTCCGCAGACATGGCTGGCCACCAGAAGTGAGTCCTGGCCAGGGAGATCATGCAGGTGGAACCTGGATGACACGAGAGTTTGTTATTGTGAATCCAGTGTAGTACCTTTGGGCGTACAGCGGTAGGCACGAACAAGGTTCCTGGGGGACCGCCACCTGGGTCCGGTTCCACCTTCCTGGCCTCCCTGATCTCCTCCTCAATGGGCCACGTGAGGGCCCCAATGATGTAGGTGGTGGGAAGGATGGTCTCCTCGGTCTCCGTGTTGTCAGGGGGGGCGAACTGGCGGGACAGCGCGTCCGGCTTGACATTTTTGGAGCCGGGCCTGAAAGTGAGGACGTAGTTGAACCTGGTAAAAAACAGTGACCATCTTGCCTGGCGGGGGTTCAGGCGTTTAGTGTCCCGCAGGTAAGTCAAGTTTTTATGATCGGTCCAAATCAAGAACAGGGTCTCCGTGCCCTCCAACCAGTGCCGCCATTCTTCCAGGGCCAGCTTTACTGCCAAGATTTCACGGTTTCCCACGTCGTAATTTCGCTCTGCTTGGGACAGGCGTTTTGAAAAAAAAGCGCAGGGATGGACCTTGTGTTCCTCCGAGGATCGTTGGGACAGCACCGCCCCTACCCCTGTATCCAAAGCATCAACCTCGAGGATAAACTGTCAATGTGGATCAGGGTGGGAGAGGACGGGCGTAGAAGAAAATAATGCTTTTAATTTAAGAAAAGCAGTCTCAGCCTCAGGTGTCCAGATAAATGGTCTGGAGGTAGAGGTGAGCTGAAAAAGTGGGGCGGCCACTCGACTGTAATTTTTAATAAAGCGCCTATAAAAATTTGCGAAGCCTAGGAAGCGTTGCAATTGTTTCCTGGACTCGGGGGTAGGCCACTCGACCACAGCTCTTGTTTTTTCTGGGTCGGTCTTGCAGTGGTCTCCCCCAAAAATGAAACCTAGGAAGGGAACCGAGAGGACATTGAATTGGCACTTCTCGGCTTTCACGAACAACTGGTTCTCCAGTAACCTCTGGAGGACCTTCCTTACCTGTCCCGCATACAGAGAGGGATCATGGGAAAAAATGAGGATATCGTCAAGGTAAACAAACACAAAATCACAGATGAAGTCGCGCAATACGTCGTTCACGAGGGCCTGAAAAACCGCGGGGGCATTTGTTAAACCAAAAGGCATAAATAAATATTCAAAATGGCTGAGGGGTGTTTTAAATGCTGTTTTCCACTCGTCGCCTTCTCTTATGCGAACGAGGTGGTAGGCATTTCTTAAATCCAATTTGGTAAAAATGGTGGCAGATTGTAACTGCTCATGGAGGGAGTTGATTAAGGG